CATAATATATTATAGGTATTCCGTATGTAATAAATGATCATATTGTTTATTTTTAATTCAATTTTTGTAGAAACGTGTTTTGTGTAGGCATAATAAATGTTATATTAAAATTTAAAAAATTCAAAAATTAGAATATAGGCACTACAGTTTCCAGCTTCTACTACAACATTACGTTATATTATGTTTTTAATTATTAAAATGCCTAAAAAGTAAACGTAAATCCCAAAATAATATGAAAACAAACTTACGCGTAAACATCGACTCTTCCGGTGAAATCTAGCTAGAGTGCCGCCGTCGCCGAAAAAACAGCTATCTTCATCCGTCTTCATCTCGTTCCGAACTGTAACTTGAAACTATCGAAATATTTCATGAAAATTACCTGAACATAACGAAATGTGCGAATTCGAGTTAAAACTTACATTATAATATATACTGCTTAACGAACTATCTGTATATTATATTGAAGGCTTATTATTTTTTTTTTCACTAAAATTATTAGAATTGTTAATAGTCGCAGACGAATATCGACAATTGGCGATTGCCATAGATGATATAAAATATATTATTTAATATGATAAATCCATAGAACTTCTACACTCAACACACATACACGGTCTATTGATACACCGTGTGTTCTTTTACAGAAATCTTTGTGGTCTGCAATGTATTCTTGTTTTCTATTTCAGTTATTTATCGTATACTAAATTTAACTAATTTAAACTAATTAGTCCACAAGTTTATAGACATCACAAATATATACTATAAATAGAGTATATTATTATAATTTATATACACGAATACACTATGACACTTTTAAATGTAATTTTTTGGGCAAAAATGACTATAACCTACTGCTGTACTAATGCTTAATAATCTGCAGTCTGCACTTTGTTCCGGTGATTTTACACGTAATATAATAAAATTGATACTAGTGATTTGTACCCGATTGTTTAATTCAATTATTTACAAGATTTCAATAAAAAAATATCTATGAAGTATAAACATCCGCATATCTATTAACTATAAATTCTTAATTGTATGAGCCATATATATATTACATATATTTTTCGAAAAAATTATTTAATGTCTCACGGGTTGATCTAGCAACTGACTGCTACGACAACTGTACAATTTTTTTAAGCATAATCCGTTTTGATAACATCCAGAAAAGAGTTTGTTTTAAGGCTGTCTGTCTTGATAACAACTAATTTAATTTAAAGTGTATTGTTATATTATATGATAATGGAAAATAATAATTATAGCAAAATATATAATTGCAAAACATTTAATATCTAGCTATATAGGGTATAAACTACACTACAAAATTTGTGAGTATGCTAATAAAATACAAGAGGTTTATAATGTATTTATGTATATAAAATATAAAGATTGATAACATTATATTGATTTAAATACTTCACGCAAAACCTAAGGTGGTACCCGGCTTATAGTAACCTATGCAAAAAGGCACTTATTAAACTTGGAGTAGTGAAACGAAGACGGACTTTGGACTGTTCGGTCTCACGTATTTTATACATGGCGCTTTTATAGGATTAAACTTATAAATGCTTCTACGTCACCCAGTTAACAGATTGTCCGGGGCAATAAATATTTAATTTAAGTCTTAAAGTAAATGTAAAATACTAAAATAGCAATAATATGAAAACAAACTTACGCGTAAACATCGACTCTTCCGGTGAAATTTAGCTAGAGGGCAGCCGTCGCCGAAAAAACGGCTATATTCATCCATCATTATCTTGCTCAGAACTGAAACTTGAAAGTATCGAAATATTTAATGAAAATAATCTGACCATAACGAAATGTGTGAATTTGTGCTAACAAACTGTCTGTATATATTGATCGCTTATTATTTTTTTGTTCACTGAAATTATTAGAATTGTTAATCGTCGCCGACGAATGTCGACAATAATTGACGATAGCCATAGATATTATTATAAAATATATTATTTACTAAGATAAATCCATAGAACTTATATACTATACTCAGTACCTAATCGGTCTTTGTTAAATCGTACGTACTTTTACAGAAATTTTTGTGATCAGCAATGTACTTATTCAGGTTTTCTATTTCATTCATAGTTCGCATGCCAAATTTAACTATCCGAAACTGGTCCGCAAATGTATAGACATTCTATTAAATTACAATGTGAATTATTATAAGTCTCCTTTTTGGTACTTGCCAAAAACTCGACTACCGGGATTTAAATTTAAAAAAATGTGATTTAGGTAACCTATTGGCTATTGATCTATTATAAAATAGAAACTGAACCTACCAATAATATCACTATATAAAATAATTAAATGTGATAATTTGAAGACAATTTCTTAAAACCTCTAAAATATTTTTTTAATTTAGTGTTATAAATTTATAATCTAGTTAAGCGGCGCTCAAGCAAATTTTTCAATTTTTTTTTTCGGTAACCCATGTGTTGCGACCAGTTAAGATGTACCTATATCTATGATGCAAAAATTAACTGCCGGAAATTATTAGTTTTTATGGTAAAGCTTTACGAAGTTCACGATTTTCGGTGTTTTAAGTGCTTGTAAAAATTTTGTTTTTTTAAAAAGAAAATCACCATCATTATTTATTTTTGTATAGGTACATAAAATATAAAAAATATTATATTATACATAGACTTCAGGGCCCCGCATACATTGAATGTGTCCGGGGTCGTCCCAAACTCCCAAGAATCCTAATTGCGGCACTGGTAGGTACCATCTATTAACTATTAAGTAGATATTACATGTATTTTTACTGTTATTAATTATTATTATATTTTGTATTATTCGAATGTATAAAGTTATTAGTTATGAAAAATTTTTTCTTTTATAAATAGTATGTTTATTATTATTATTTATATTTGTTTCTTAATAATTAATAAAAGAACTCTTTTATAGTGAAAATTGATCATCATATTACTTGACCAAGGAGAAACAAAGTACATTTATACGTATCTATATACATAATCGCACTCTATTGCGTGTTTAAATGTCACGTTTTTTATATAATATAATAGGTACTGTACTACCTACTGTTTCATCTGGTATCCACTGTATGTACCTATCTTGTTTGATCGACGTGTGATCAGAGTCGGACTGGGTACTAAGGGCCCCACCGGCAGTTTACTTATAGAGAGGGCCTCAACAGTCAACAATAGTGATAAATAATAACTCTCTTGTAAATTTGATAAATTTTTTTCACAAAAAATGATCATAAATAAACTTTATAATTTACAATTGTTACTCAAAACACCATATTTATCTTTATTTACTGTTTTCTTTAGTTAAATTTATTTACAATTTATTTTATAGTATATTTTAGAGATCGATTATAATAAATTATCAAAATTTTTGGTAACTACCAGCTATTTTGATAATTGTTAAAAATGTTATTTATTAATTTAAGACAAGGAGGAAAATGTAGAAGGCTTGTATGTACCTATAGAATCAAACACATTGTGTTAATTGTTAAGACACAATATAAACAATTAATATTGAAATAACAATATCATTTTTTAATAGAATTTTTATATTTTTATAAATCAAGGAAATATGTCGCATTCAGCTCTTAATATAAATAAAATAAGATAATATTTAAAGTAAGGGTGCCTTCACGACAAGGCGTTGGTAAGATATAAATATCACACCAACGACCTTAAATGAATGGTAAAGGTATTAAAAGAGATAACCCGAACGCCAATATGGTAAATAATTGAGTTTATTATAATTCCAAGTGATGGTAGGTACTTTGGTTCTCTATAATATTACAATGCGTGTTTAGCAATACATAATTAATAATAATAACAAGTGTGAAATGCCTACTTGGCACCCACTAGATGAATAAAATATAATAATAACAAATGCAAATAATAATTCAACAGTGATTGATTAGCACATAAAAATAATAATAATTGAATAATAATTTAAGACAGCTCGTCAGCTGGTTACCTGGAGAACTGGTGTCCGTTAGCGGCTTTGAACCTAACGCTACCGTCTCAGGATGCACACATTTACACAATAAAAATACAATATTATAATAATTAAATGTGTGGCAATCCCGAGAACGTACGACTAACGGGCCACCAGCTCAAACGAATAAATCACTGAACACATGTAATGGACAATGACACTGATGACACAAAAATCACGTGCTTCTGTAAGTATCTCATGTGCGCCCTAAATTGGGGAATAATATTTAATGTCTGAACAAAACAAATGACTGAACGATACTTACAGAAAGCAATTCACAGGAAACGAGCACAGGATGATTGAACGTATAAATGTATAAAATGAATGTATGCTTCTTCAGTATGTATAAAACGAATGAAATATTGAAGTGTGCTCTGGCTAGGGGTTGACTTGGACCGACCAGCTCGAGAGACGTGCGAAAAAAAAAGAAAAACAGAAAAGGCGAATGTATTTAATTGAATATTATGAGTTTTTACGAAGACGAATGAATGTATTGAATAACCAATGAGAAAACGCATAATTCACAAAAATGCTATCAGTACCACCTTAAACATTTAATACGAAAAAATACAAGACTTTCGGTGGCACTGAAAGCGACACAAAACTTTACGAACGAAGAAAAACATTAAAAGTGCATAAAAATAACAAAAATACAAAAAAGCGACCGTTGGAATGCACACGTTGCCCGTTATCAGTTAGATAACACAACGACGGTGGGACAACGCGCGCACTCACCAGACAATCAGACTGCCGCTGCAGCTGTTGTTCGGTCCGCGATAATGCACCGGCGCGAAAAGGAAATATTTTGAATATAGCTTGCGGAGCGAACATACACCCCCCTTTGAAAGGATCAACCTTTCAACATTATAATGACAATAACAACGAATAATGGAACTATGACTACGTATGAAAAGTGATAATTTTGCTACATGCAACATTATCAATAAGAGATAATAATAAAAAAAAAAATAAATAAATAATACATTGGTGGAGTCCTCTTTTGATGATGACTAAGGTTGTTCTTCTCTCTCATCTTCTTCACTTGGTAGCAAGGAAAGTTTCACCACTGGGCGTTTGAAAATGTTGCCAGAGGAATTGCGTAAAGTGACCACTCGAACAGTGCCATCAGGACCAGGATGAACATCTTGAACCCTGACCAGAGCCCATCTGGTAGGAGGAAGATTTTCTTGTCGGAGAAGACATAGGTCACCCACTCTTATGTTTCGAGTTGCTTTTATCCAGCGACCTCGGCGTTGCAATTGAGGAAGGTACTCCCGGGACCATCTCTTCCAAAACTGTTGAATGCAAGACTGTACCAATGCAAAACGTTTAAGTCTAGACATCGGGGTGGTGGATGAATCTGCTTCAGGTGGCAATGTGATAACCCCACCAATGAGAAAATGAGCAGGTGTTAGAGCTTGATAGTCTGATGGGTCATTGGATAACGGAGTCATGGGTCTAGAATTTAAAACTCCTTCTATTCCACACAGCAACGTTGTAGCTTCTTCAAATGTAAATGTTGCATTTGATGATATTTTTGTCAGGAGTTGTTTGGAAGACTTAACCGCAGCTTCCCACAGACCTCCAAAGTGAGGTGCTGAGGGTGGAATGAAGTGCCATTGCATAGATTTTTCAGAAAGATATGAAAATGTTGTATGAGTCTTGGAAATTTCCTCAAACTGTGACATGAGTTTGCGATTCGCACCAACAAAATTTGTGCCATTGTCGCTGAAAAGGTTACTGCATTGTCCTCGGCGAGACATGAATCTAGTTAGTGTGGCTAGAAACGCATCGGCAGTTAAAGATGAGACTAATTCCAAATGAATAGCGCGTGTGACTAAGCACACAAATACAGATATATATGCCTTTTCAGTCTTTACACGACGGATACCACTTCGAATCATTATTGGCCCGCAGAAATCTACTCCACATTGAGAAAACGGCCTTTCAATAGTGGTACGTTGCCGAGGTAGCGGAGCCATGAAAGGTGTTATTAATTTTGGATTGGTTCGGAAACATTGAATGCATTGATGCACGGTTCGACTGGCAAGACTTCGTCCACGGATGGGCCAGTAATTTACTTGTATGTGTGAGAGTAATGCTTGTGGACCAACATGCAGTAGCCTCAGGTGCTCATATTTGAAAAATAATCTTGTGAAAGTTGATGAGGGTGGCAATACAACTGGAAACTTTGTATTGTCATGTATTGGTGCATACGCTAAGCGACCTCCAACACGCAAAATACCAGTACCGTCAACAAATGGATTTAGCTTTAACAGGCAGCTTGACCGATGAATGGGTAAATTTGAATTTAAAGCCTTTAGTTCCGAGGGATAAGCTTCAGCCTGAATCTTGCGAATCCAAAATTCCCTGGAAGCTTTGAGGTCTTGTACAGTCAATGCACCTGTCGTACGTTGATCTATGAGTTTTCTCTGTATTGTACAATTGTGTACGAATCGTTGGACTAAGGCAGTTATACGTATAAGTTGCATGTAACTTGAATATTTGTTTAGCAGCCAGGAATCGGACGAATGAGTTGTAGCCAGCACCAACTTTACTGGACGAACTTCAGGGATTTCTGATGGTAGCTCTGGGATGCCTGGCCATGAATCACTTTTCAAAAGTAACCAGGATGGTCCGTTCCACCAAATTGACAATGAAGGCAGCGCAGCAGGATGTATACCTCTTGTTATTTGATCGGCAGGATTTTCCTTAGAAATAACATGGCGCCATTGAGCATTTACTGTAATGTCTAATATTCGAGCAACTCTGTTTGCTACGTATGATAGCAAAGGGACTTCATTTTTTAGCCAAGCCAAAACAATTGATGAATCAGTCCATAGTAAAATTTCGTTTACACTGAATTGCATGCCTAAACAACTGAGTTCATTTTTTACCTCTAACAACAGTTCAGACAGCAATACTGCACCACATAGTTCGAGTCTAGGGATGGTTGTAGCTTTCATTGGGGCAACACGAGATTTGGATGCCAGGAGATGTACTTGCACTTGACCATTTGGACTGGCAGAACGTAAGTAAATGCATGCACCAAATGCCTCTTGCGATGCATCGCAAAAGCCATGAATGGTAACCTTTGAATCTGCAGTGTTGATAACCTTACGTGGTATAGCCAATTCATGCAAGGACTGAAGAGAGTTGTAGAATTTTATCCATCGAGCTTGCAATTCAGATGGGATAATGTCGTCCCAGCTCATCTTCATTCCCCATAATTGTTGAATGAAAATTTTTCCAAGAATGAGAACCGGGGATATGAGTCCAATAGGATCATAAACTGAGTTGATGTCTGATAATAGTGTACGCTTGGTCATGTTTAACGGCGGTGACCAATGCTTGAACGTAAAACGAAATTGATCAGTGATAGGTTGCCACGTGAGTCCTAAGGCTGTAACCGTGTCATTCTCACTGAGTTTTAATACAAACGTTGGGTCATTACATGCTGATGGTATTTGGTTAATAAGATTGACTGAGTTGGAACACCATTTGCGAAGTGGAAAACCAGCTGGACTAAAATGTTTTAATAGTGAACTGTAAATTTGATAGCATTCATCTTCAGATGCCCCACCACTCAGGAGGTCATCAACATAAAAATCCTGAGTGATTACTCGATTTAATTTAGGATTGTCTGTGCATTTTCCAATCTCAGATAAACAACGAGTGGCCAAATACGAGGCTGACTTTGTTCCATATGTTACAGTGCACAGCCTGTATTCTTGTAGTTGATCAGTAGGACTTTTTCGATAAAGAATTCGTTGGAGGTCTCTATCCTCAGGTGCAACTAAAACTTGTCGGTACATTTTCTCGACGTCCGCTGTGATCACTACTTGGTGAATGCGAAATCGAAGAAGGATATGAAATATATCTGACTGTACTTTTGGTCCTTTCAACAGAACATCATTGAGTGCTATTCCGGACTTGGTGTTGGCAGAACCATCAAAAACTACACGGAGCTTTGTGGTTGTGCTATTGGCCTTAAATACTGGATGGTGAGGTAAATAATATTTTGGTCCAGTGCATGTAGGATTTGCCAGCTCCATGTGGTTCAACGCCAAGTATTCAGAAATAAACATATTATATTGTTCTGCCAATTTTTCATCTTTACTAAGTCTCCTTTCTAAATTGTAAAACCGCCTCTCTGCCATTGGACGAGAATCACCCAGAAATGTGATCTTGTCATTAACTGGAAGCTTTACAACAAATCTCCCACTTTCATCACGCTTAACAGTTGATGAAAAGTGCTTCTCCGCTTGAGCTTCTTCGATGAATTGAGCATTTGTAGTTGAGGTAAATAGACTTAACGCAGAATTGGTAGATACTGGGGTGGATAGCATGGTTATTTTTGACTTAACTAATGACTTCTCAAATAATTTTCCAACAAGTATCCAACCAAGTTTTGTATTGTGTACACTAATATGCTTGGACAGCTGTTTACGTGCACCCAGGAAAATGTCATAAAATAGTTCGGCACCAAATAATATGTCAACAGCAGCTGGTACGTTGAGTTGAGGATCAGCTAGATTGCCCTTAACATCATCAGGTATGTTCAATTGATCCATGCTGAACATTTGATGCGGAAGTCTTTCTGTTATCGTTGGCAATGAATGAAATTCAATCGAGGATTGATAGTTTTGACAATGCGATGATACAGTGCATGGCATTAAACGCACAGTGGAAGAAGACATAGTACCAACACCAGATATTGACAATGAAACATTAGTCTTCTTTAAACGCAGGCGTTGAGCACAAGATGACATTATGAAGTTGAGTTGAGATCCAGAATCCAAAATGGCTCTACAACGTTGAGGTCGTCCATCAGCGTCATGAACATTTATTACAGCAGTAGCAAGCATCACAGTGGACGTGGTACTTGGCGCATGCTTGTTGCTGGTCATTGCATGGCATACTGCATTATCTTGACTGGTTGTCTGTGTCTCAGTTTGCGTAGAGCTCTTGGGTTCTGACATATGGCTCGAGTCAACATGTAGTCTTGAATTATGTTTTTTTTTACAACGTGGACATCCAGGATAATAGCAAGATTCAACTTGATGTCCAAAATTCAAGCAGTTGAAACATAATTTAAATTTAGTGACAACATCCTTACGCTCAGACACTGACATTTGATTGAATTGGTTGCATGCATAAATTCTATGTGGTTCTGTACACAACACACACTTGATAGTATGAGGTTCAGATTTTTTAGCAAAAAAAGCTTTGACATCATGTTTTTTGGCTCCATACTGAGACTTTCCAGTGGTTTGTTTTGTATCAGACTTTGATGAAATATAACCGACTTCATAGGCAGCTATGCGTTTAGACAGAAATGACTCAATATCTTTAAATGCAGGGAGCTCCTTGCTGGTTTGTAGTAGCTGCCACTCACCAGCAGTAGTTGGATCTAGATGACAACAGACAATTGTTGTCAACCAGGCATCCCAATGTTGTACAGGCTGCTTTAAGGCGATAAGAGAGCGAACATGAGAATTAACATGATAATGTAACTTCTTTAATTCAGCAGCACAATTAGTATGTACCTTTGGCGAATTCAATAATGCACGGATATGAACTTGGATAGTTAACGCCTTGTTTTCATATTGCTTTACTAATTCATCATAAGCAGCTTGGTAATTATCTGAAGTAATTGAGAAACTTTTAATCACCTCAGCAGCTGTACCGCAGACACCTGACTTAAGATAATGCATTTTATGAACATTAGGTAAATCTTTGTTGTTGTGGAATAGTGCATTAAAGGTGTCAATGTAGGAAGCCCAATTCTCAATCTCACCATTGAATGTGGGAATGTTAATTGTGGGTAATCTCATTGTTTCATTGACTGATGCACGTGACTGGTTGCTAGGATGCATTGAACTTGATGTTGTACTTGGCCCATGCTTTTCTATAAGCTCTTCCATGTCAACCACCAAAGTGAATGTAAAGTCATCAAAAACAACCTGTTCAGTGACATCATCATATCCCAATTCAAAATCAACAATGGCTTCTTGAGTGACAGACAACTCGGCCATAAATGCAGTCAATTTTGATAAACGGATTTGCAGTTGGCGCACAGATGAACTGGCCGGAATGAATTTGTTGACATAGTCCCTGACGGAGTTTATCGAGTCCTTGATTGATTGACGCTTCTTGATCAGCTTACGCAATTCCTTAGGCAAAGAAGAGAGGTCGGACTCGAGCATGATGTTGAATTTCACTTATAGATGTAGGACAAGTATAATTGTAGTATGTCTAAAGTTCAACTAACAAATATATAAATGTAAAATGTGCAATATAGAAATAATATAATGAAATGCAATACAGAACCAAATACCAACTAGTATAAACTCAATATGTCTGAATGACTGAATAAAAATATTTTTTTTTTGTATTAATAGTTTATTGATTGTAATACTAATATTACAGTGTTATCTATAATAATAAAAGCGAGCTGATCACGTCGAGGTCACCACAAAAATGTCGCATTCAGCTCTTAATATAAATAAAATAAGATAATATTTAAAGTAAGGGTGCCTTCACGACAAGGCGTTGGTAAGATATAAATATCACACCAACGACCTTAAATGAATGGTAAAGGTATTAAAAGAGATAACCCGAACGCCAATATGGTAAATAATTGAGTTTATTATAATTCCAAGTGATGGTAGGTACTTTGGTTCTCTATAATATTACAATGCGTGTTTAGCAATACATAATTAATAATAATAACAAGTGTGAAATGCCTACTTGGCACCCACTAGATGAATAAAATATAATAATAACAAATGCAAATAATAATTCAACAGTGATTGATTAGCACATAAAAATAATAATAATTGAATAATAATTTAAGACAGCTCGTCAGCTGGTTACCTGGAGAACTGGTGTCCGTTAGCGGCTTTGAACCTAACGCTACCGTCTCAGGATGCACACATTTACACAATAAAAATACAATATTATAATAATTAAATGTGTGGCAATCCCGAGAACGTACGACTAACGGGCCACCAGCTCAAACGAATAAATCACTGAACACATGTAATGGACAATGACACTGATGACACAAAAATCACGTGCTTCTGTAAGTATCTCATGTGCGCCCTAAATTGGGGAATAATATTTAATGTCTGAACAAAACAAATGACTGAACGATACTTACAGAAAGCAATTCACAGGAAACGAGCACAGGATGATTGAACGTATAAATGTATAAAATGAATGTATGCTTCTTCAGTATGTATAAAACGAATGAAATATTGAAGTGTGCTCTGGCTAGGGGTTGACTTGGACCGACCAGCTCGAGAGACGTGCGAAAAAAAAAGAAAAACAGAAAAGGCGAATGTATTTAATTGAATATTATGAGTTTTTACGAAGACGAATGAATGTATTGAATAACCAATGAGAAAACGCATAATTCACAAAAATGCTATCAGTACCACCTTAAACATTTAATACGAAAAAATACAAGACTTTCGGTGGCACTGAAAGCGACACAAAACTTTACGAACGAAGAAAAACATTAAAAGTGCATAAAAATAACAAAAATACAAAAAAGCGACCGTTGGAATGCACACGTTGCCCGTTATCAGTTAGATAACACAACGACGGTGGGACAACGCGCGCACTCACCAGACAATCAGACTGCCGCTGCAGCTGTTGTTCGGTCCGCGATAATGCACCGGCGCGAAAAGGAAATATTTTGAATATAGCTTGCGGAGCGAACAAAATATACCTATCATTGTGTACCTACTGATTGAAGTATTCCTCAAAGCAATAAGAATAGGTTTTCAGTTCTAAAAATAAATACCTCTAAAATTCCAATATTGATCAATCATATATATTATTATTTTTAATTGGCATCGATGAGACGATAACAGAAACGTTGACTGTTGAGACGTCACAAACATGTTTTGTCCGTCTAAACTACACTGTTTTTTTATGTTTGATTATTATTAAACAAATATAATACATTATATAAATGTACAGTTCATATATTTTATACTTATGATTTTTTCCGTTCATTAGATGGGGCCCCATATAGTCATACACACAAGGGGGCCTTACTGGCTATGGCTAGTCGGTTATATTGGCCAGTCCGACCCTGCGTGTGATATGTGTCGCCGGTGTAACGACTCAAGCAATAATAATAGTAATTATTATTTTTACTATGTACAATCTTCTAAAACCTAACCTCGTTTGGAACTGTCAAACACTCAAACCGACGACGACGTTTGTGTGTCCACAACTCCGCCGCTACAAAATATAAAACACAAAGTAATATAATATCAGTAATAGTTTAGGTACCTAAGTACCTATATATTTATTCGACCAGTGCATGAAGAATATACCTAACCACCAAAACATTCGGGACCCGGTTTATTAGAAAATTCATCGTAACTTTGTCAAAAGCTGAAAATGTATTTTTTTTATTCTGTAAAATCAAACACGGTGGTATCTTGTATAAAATATAGTTAAGTACCTACCTATTATTTTATATCGTTCAAATTTCCTTATGCTTATGGTCGTATATTTATCAGTGTTTAACCAAAGCGTACATCAATAATATTCACATGCCTAAATTATAAACGTCCGAGATGATTATTATTTCAATAGATCAATCTTATATATATAAAAATGGAGACAAAAAATTCGAAATTGCATCAGTTGAGAACGGCTGGGCCGATTTTGCTCAATTTTTTTTTAAGATGTTCGTAATTGCCAGGTGAAGGTTTTTACGAAAGAAAATTTTTAAAAAGTCAACCGAATAATTAGAAAAACTGCAAAAACTATTTATTGATGTCTGGGATTTGAACTCGATACCGTTGTCTTTATTTACTCTATGGTGTATTATATTATATTGGTTGCTATTGGTTAATCGGGCATGTTTGTTGATTTGTATTATTATTTTTTGTAAATATATCTATATATATAAATGAATGACCTATGGGAAGAAGATACGCTAATTTAAAAAGGGTTAAATTTGGTTTTTTTTATTCATCGGATTTTAGTATGGTTAGGTTAGGATTTATAGGTAGGTGGAATTAAGTAAAAACGTCAAACTTGGTATAACTTTTGTACTTTTTGAGTTAAATCATACACTTACGTACAAACAGCACGGGGTCCGCGATCTACCGCAGGTAAATTACTTATCTGATAGTGTACCTACTGCTGCAATTCAGAATTTTTATTCCGGGCAACAGAAAAGTTAAGATAAATCTAGAACATCATACACCGAATATTAAATAACGCATTGAACAATGTTTGAGTCATATAGAGTTGGTACATTTAACGGGAAACGAAGTGCACGGGATCAGCTAGTACCTATATTATATAATTTAGTACGGACCTATTGACTATTACATAGTAACTAGGTACATACCAACGTAAGGAATTGTTGCTTGATGGTGTTAAATATTTTCGGAAGTGGCCCGCCTTAAATTTGGCACACTTAAAATAAATTGAAATGGTGTCCGTTAGTAAATAACATAATATAAGATTATCTTTGGACGAATAATTAATAAATATCATCCATAATATAATTAGGTATACAAATATATAGTACCATTAGTAGGTACCTGTTATATACAAATGTACTATATAGGTACTTACATATTCTATTAATTACTAATTATTACTATACAGACATATACCTGAATATTACTTTTAGTCATTACCAATTCATATTCTAATACCGTGGTCCGTGGATGATTGTGCACTGTGCAGGAGGCAACAAGATTTTTTCCAACTAAGTTTAGTATGATTTTGTTATGCGATTGATAACTCATTATTAAACTATTCGATGGTCATTACTATACGACTTGTTCGATATTAATATATTATAATTTATAATGACGGCTTTTATTCTTAGTTATTTATTGCTCACTTCAAGTACCTATACAATATTCACAAATATTTGGCATCATCAACGTTATAGCATCATATATAAATAAACGGACGACAGGTTCACGATACCAGAAGAAACAAGCATTCAAGCCAGAGACACCCAAATTTAAATACATGCTCCAGTCATAATAACCCATTTTTATTTTAATAAAACTACAATTTAAAATAACCACAACCGAAACACATCGTAACATTCAAATAAATCAGACACCTGAGTTAATTGTTTTGGTCAGCCCAGGTAACACCCCTACAAAATTGTGATCTTTTTTCTTATTCACAAATAGCAATTGTTAAACAAAAACTCTTATCGGGTGAAAAAGTGTAGAAGGAGTATTTATCTACGAGTGTGTCTAATGTTTTTGATTACAATATGATAAAAGTATAAAAAAAGTTTGTAAAGAAATGTTGATTTAGAGTGTCTAGTCATTGGTTATCTCACTCATCGGGGTCAGATGTTAATCAGGAGTAAAAGTTTAAAAAAAAAAAACCCGAAAAAACAATTATAATATTAAAGACCCAAATTTTATTGTTCGACTTTCAAACATTTGAAAAATTCTAAGACTGGAATAAAAAAATTTCGGCTTTTACTCATTGGACTAATAAGTTTAAAAAAAGTGTAAGCTCGGTCTGTATTGTAAATTTTACAGATGTCTTTATTAAAGTAAGTCGATATAATTTGACAGGTATCTATATAATACGTAGGTATCTATAAACGTGTCATTCCCAAAAAAAAGACGTCATACAATTTAAATGTTAAATATAATTATATAGGTTGATAATATTAAAATATTAAATCTGTGTTACTTACCTGTAATTTATTTTGTTCTGAAGACCACGAGTTATTGTTGTACCTACCTACTTGATCGATCACATATTTTAATAGCGTAAGATTAAAAATTAGTATAATAATTAGATGCTAATATGTGATGCTCTGCGCAGAGCTAGGAGAAAATATTTACCTATTTAAGTGCCATAAAATAATTAATCCCCATTAATGATACATCGTGTCTGCGATTCAATCTGTGATCGATTTAAGATATGAAAATATATACTTATTATATTATTCTATCTATGTATACGATATGACCGTATCTGGACCAGACGACCTATGAAGGGTGTAATCGCGTAGTTAAATAAGAGTCAGTTATAATCTGAGATTGAAATGTTCAGAAGAAACCGTTATTTTTCAGATATATATGATCAAATTAAATATTATTAAATTACTATATTTATAAATGAAATATATATTTATATTATACATACCTATATCATATTGTGACTAAATACGAGTCCTAGGTAGTAATAGATTAATTGTACAATATAATTAGGGTACCTATTAATTAATATTATTTATGTTAAAGAGGTCAAAGTCGATGCATTAGAATTAATGTATTGTTTATTAGAATATTGTAATAGTTATACCTAATAACACATTTTTTATTAAATATAGATTTTTAACAAATATAAATTCTTAATAACGGCCAAGTGCCAAACGTAAAAGTGTCCCTGTCATTGTGTCAATCATTCTTTTAGAAAACAAAAAAAAAATTAGGAGAAATTAAACAATATTACCACACATTAAAGAAATCAAACTAAAATGTCCAGATTCTTAAACAGATAACACTACACTATTTAAAATAATTAGTGCAGGTTATCAATGTTCACATCTAAACAAAACATAAAACTAGAGTTAAATAACTAAAAAAAAAAAATGGAAATTAAACAATAGGAGCACACATAAAAGAGTCAAACTATAAAATGTCCAGAATCTTAAACAGGAAAAAACTATTCAAAATTATTAGTTCATTCAAGAAAGATTATTCATAGGGCCCCTGCAGGTTATCAATGTTCATGTCTATAAAAATATTTCCACTATACTTAAATTAAAAAAAAAAAAAATCGAAGCTGAGAGTTGGCGCTCGCAGGCAAATGCGTTTTAGAAAAAAAAAAATTAGAAATTAAACAATAGGACCACACAGTAAAGACTTCAAACTAAAATGTAAAGAAACTTAACAAAAAAAACTATTCAAAATGATAAGTTAAGGAAATGCTAATATAAACATTCAGTGAAATTTTCATGTATCTACAGTAATTCGTTTAGAATTACAACAAAATAAGGAAATTGCTACATGAGAAATCGAGTGAACATCCAAAATTTGAATTTCAAACGCTCATAAAAATTTAATTTGACTGTCCGGTAGAGATTTTTTTATTGATAAAGGTAGACAAACTTATGAGTAATCTTGTATTACATTTTCAAATCTTAAGATTTAAAAAGAAAATTTTTTACGAATCCTTAACTCAAAATAATTTGCTAATTTTCGTGATTTTTCCATATTTTGTCAATTTTTGAACTTTAAATGCTTATAAAAAAAAAACTGTGACTAACGATTTTTAATATTTTACATCTGCCTTTGAAACAATATACTAGGAGCCTTTTATTAAATTTTCAAGTTTTTTTAACCAACAAATAAAATTTTATTGATATTTCTAGAAAAAAAACTAAAAAAAAATGAAAAAGTCCCTAAACAGTTCAAAATAAATCAAAATATTTTGAAAATGTTATCGTGTATAGAAAATGCAAATATAAACAACCAGTGAAAATTTCATGTATCTACGGTCATTTGTTTTAAAGTTACACCAAAAACCAAATTCAATTTTCTGAAAAATCAATTTTGCGTAAAAATTCTCGTTTTTTCTTAATTTTTCTTGGCGCTTTTGAAAAGTACTGGGTATTTTAAATGTTGACCTCCCCAATGCACCAACGATATTCACTTTCCAATCGAACAAGATACTGAAGTTGAAAATCGAAGAATTATTTCGACTACTTATCGTGTACACAGACACAAAAAAAATAAAAAAACACACTTCATTGTAAAATCAATACATTCATCGTTTCACTCAGAATCTAAAATACATTTCCAGAAATATACTTACTAAGTTACACAAAAATATATCAAATTAACCAAAATGATATGAATAAATGATTATTATTATATCATATATTTTTGATTAATAAATCTTTTATAGTTACATTCTGAATGTATTATATAAAACACTTATTTCATATTTAACAACTTAAAACCAGTTGTATTGAAATAGCAATCAAATAATATTATATCTTATTATTTTAGGCTGAAAACTTGAAAAAAGTTATTAGAAGTAAAATTAAACAACAAAGAATTAATTTCATATTAATGTTTTTTTTATTAGGTATTTTAGTGACATGCACAGCGTTACACCAAACGCTTTTTTGACAAGATACATAATATTATCAGTAAATGATCAATAGATTTTAGTTTTGAAAATGGAAACAATCATATAAACTCAGACACTGCCATACATTTGGAAAGAGAAAAACTTGACCATAATTCATCAGTTCTTTTAGAATAGTAGTTTAGTCTTATGGAAAATTAAATTTTGTTTTAATAGCATAAAACAAGTATTGTTCAATATTAAGACGAAAATATTATTTATCAGGAAATAACATCAAGTCTTCCATACTATTGCGTTTAACAATAAAATAATAATAAAAAAAAATGCGGCGATTTTAAAGTTAATATCATGTTTACAATTTATCAAGGTATGAATTGATGTCTGGTAGTCCATCCTTAAGACCTTTGCGTTTACGTGTGTCCTAAAAATAAATACACAACAGTTATTGAAATGTATTGACATTTAAAATTATATTATCTTACCATAACAACAACGTATGGTTTCGATCCAGTTTCACATGGGTCACCTGGGAATACTTGCCAATGATCAAATACACACTGTGGGAAAGCTTGTCCTCCAGTGTTACTACGCAAATCAGCTGTGAATCCTGTAAAAGATTATAATAGCAATTATAACAAATGTTTATGAATTTAACTTCAGTAAATCGTTATGATCAAAAACTGTTTCAGTTCATCATAGCTTAAATCGTCATCAAACATAAAGATAGAGGTTCTGCGACAGCGTTCTGATGAATTGGTATTAAATTAATTTTCTTCCATATGCACTTTCAACACTGTCCCCATTCACGAACGAATAAAAACCCGCCCGCTAACTACAGAGTGATTCATTTATGCTGGAAGGTATTCAATATGACTACATTAAATTGAAACTATAGTAATATGAGTGTATTACATCAGATAGGAATCTGATGAATATAGCGACATATACCTAATTTTAATTTACCACTTAAGGAAAGTCTATTACTTTATACATTCAAAGTAAAAGAGGCAAATTGTGGTACTACTAAGTTGAAATCCTTAAAACAAAGTCTTAATGTAGTAATATGTTTGTATTATATCAGATAAAAACCTGAAGAACATAGCGACATTTACCTAATTTTAATTTACCACTAAAGGAAAGTCTATTACTTTATACATTCAAAGTAAAAGAGGCAAATTGTGGTACTACTATTAAATTGAATCCTAATAAAATTGTAATGTAGTAATATGATTGTATTACATCAGATAAAAACCTGAAGAACATAGCGACATTTACCTAATTTTAATTTACCACTAAAGGAAAGTCTATTACTTTATACATTCAAAGTAAAAGAGGCAAATTGTGGGATTTACTACCACTTATAAGATTCATTTAAATCCTCATTAATAATATCTTAGTAATATTCAGATAAAAACCTAATATTCTTATTTAATTTGCTAAAAAAGGAGTCTTAATCATAACAAACATGAAGAGCAAATTAAGATAAGACAAGACAAACAAAACCTTAAAAAAATATAATGAAAAATTGTTATCTTACCAAAAGATTCATTGACAGGCAAGTATGCTTTAACGACAAACATGGGTGTACCGACAACTTGACTCTCTTCAAAAACGTGTCCTCTACGTCTGTTCAAAACACTGTAAATACCTCCTACTGCAACTTCAGGGCACTAAAAACACAATAAATTGTATGATTAATTTTCAAAAAACACAATTAATTATAATTGAGGCATACCTGAATTTCACACAAGTACACAGGTTCCATAATTCTGGGGTGAGCAGCTAAAATCGAAGCGTACATACAACGACGAGCAGTTGGAATGATTTGACCACCTCCTCTGTGGATAGCATCAGCGTGTAATGTAACATCATAAATATTGAATCTAACTGCACGCATGTTTTCTTCTGCCAACACTCCCTATAAACATAATTCCACATTTAAACTAAAATTGAATAAAATTCATTACAGGTAAAGCTTAACATTCAATACATAAGATTAAATTACTCAGACACTTTCAACCATCATTAAGCAAAATGTGTTCTGGTGGAAACCGCGAAAGATTTTACATAGATATCATCATAGCAGAGTTTAATCAATCGCATGATAATTAACAATATATTTATTATTACTCAGACACTTTCAGCCATCATTACAAGATAGAAATCTCTCTGGTGGAAACCGCGAAAGATATAACAATAGTATCATCATAGAAATATGTTACAATTATCATCTTAATCTTATCTCAACTATCAAAAGAAATAATAAAGGGATAATGGCAGTACTGGTTAGAATTGGCATATTATTGGCCATTACCATAATTATGAGATGTGTATAAAAGTAAGTTGAATAAAAATACTTAACTCTCATTTAAGTGCAAATTATTTGAACTTTTTCTGTTATCAAGAGAAAGAAGAGCTGGTAGAAATTGAAAAATTATATTTGTATAATTAAATTTGATTACAGGTAAGCTTAACATTCTGTATAAAAGATTAAATTACTCAGACACTTTCAACCATCATTAAGCAAAATGCGTCTGGTGGAAACCGCGAAAGATTTAACATAGATATCATCATAGCAAGATTTAATCAATCAATCAAATGATAATCAACAATATATTTAATATTATTACTCAGACACTTTCAGCCATCATTACAAGATAGAAATCTCTCTGGTGGAAACCGCGAAAGATATAACAATAGTATCATCATAGAAATAAGTCAAAATATCATCTTAATTTTTTCTCCACTAATTTAACAAATAAAAATCGCGACAATGGTAGTACTTGGTAGTATAGAAAGGGATTTGAGACAGTGATTGACTGCCTCGGGTGTAACCACGTACCGCTCAAAATATGTATACAAATAGATTACTCAGACACTTTCAACCATCATTAGCAAGATGCATCTGGTGGAAACCGCGAAAGATATAATAATATTATCATCATTGAAAATGTTTAACAGAATTTTTTTTAATAATCAACTATGTACTATACTAGCTGTCTCCTTGGTCTAAAGATTTATTTTTTTTTCTATTAACATATTTTTAATTGTAATAGTAATAAAATATGTAAATCAATGGCAGGCAAACATCCGTTAATATCAGAAAATGAATCAATTTGCTCAGACACTTTCAACCATCATAAGAATTTACCTCTGGTGGAAACCGCGAAAGAATAATACTTGTATCATCATGGCAAATTTGTCACAACAAAGATTTATCATAACTAAATATATTACCTCTTTGGTTGCCCATTGGAATCCAGCAACGACTGAATCCTTAATTTCATTAAGATACTGTACTCCCTTGGTACAATCAATCAACAAATTGGGGCCGGTTCCATCAGGACCAAAAGCCCAGATTTTTCGAGCTTCAGTAACATCATATTCATATTTTTCACCCAAGTAACGGGCACGAGCTTTGAATTCATCTCTTGGGTTGACTTGACCCTATAACATTCAGCATAAATGTAAATAAAATATATTTACTTAAAAAAACAAATTTGAACTTACGCCTTCAATGTCTTCAGCCAAACCATCTGGGAATGGTTGACATTTCATGAATAATCTGTTATGTTTGTTGGGAGATTTTGACAAGCACATGATTTCAGACTCTTCATTGACAGTTTCCCTGTATGATACCACTGGATCAGACTTCTTGATTGGAATGCAAGCATGATCTTCTTCCAAATCCTTCAAGCAAATTTCCAAATGCAATTCACCGGCACCAGCAACAATGTGTTCACCTGATTCTTCAATGATACACTGGACCATGGGATCAGACTTGGCTAAACGTTTAAGACCTTCTACCAATTTTGGTAAATCTGCCGGGTTCTTGGGCTCTACAGCAATACGCACAACAGGGGATACACTGAACTTCATAACTTTCATGTTGTGAGCATCTTTGAAGGTTGTAATTGTTCCAGTTTTCACCAAAAACTGATCAACACCAACCAATCCACAAATGTTACCTAAAGAAATATTCAACATAAATAAGAAATACGAAGATTAAAAAACGTTATAGATGAGCAATGGTAGTTGCCACTTATTCATCACTTATTATTTGGATTTGGCAGGAAGAGTCTATTCCAAATTATAAAATAAAGAACGATTATGATTGCCTATCTATTTAACCTATAATTTAAGTAAATACCACAGGGAACATCTTCAATAGCTTCAGTATAACGTCCCATCATCAAAATTGTTCTTTGGATAGCCTTTTCATACAAATCTTCTTTCTTGCCAGGGGTATAGTTAGGTCCCATAATACGAGCTTTCATACCAGTAGCAACCTAAAAATATAACAAGTTATTAAATACACACAACTAAAAATTTCTGAAGTATTTTGAAACATACCCTTCCAGAGAATACACGCCCGAAAGCATAAAAACGTCCTTTGTCAGATGTCGGCACCATCTTGGAAATGTACATCATAAGTGGTGCATCTGGGTCACAGTTCTATAATAATAAAATATTAAATAAATTTTGTAACACATGATATATTAAGATATTAATTATTCAAACCTTAACACCAAGAGCTGCTTCATCATCATGAGGTCCTTCGTACAACATTTCCATACGATATTTCTGGGCAACAACAGGAGATGGCAAATGGATGGCTATCATTTGAAGTAGAGCTTCTCCAGCAGGCAACCAGGTACGCATAACAACCTATTATAGAATAAAAAAGTTGCATAATTCAATTTATGTAAAATCTAGATAAATATTACATTTCATAAACTGAAGTCACAATGGAAAAAGGTTTAATATCAGAATAAATTTCTATCAACTTCGTAAAATGAAAAATTCACATAATAATCTTACTTTTTTAAAATTAATGTAGAGCATATAATATTGTAAGATGAACAAGTATATAGTATTATGTAACTCAGATGGAGAAGGGTTAATATGAATATCAACATATATATTCTTATCAGAATAAATTTCTATCATCATAGTGAAATGAAAATTGACATAAATTAAGTATTCTTATTTCAATAAATGTACAGCATACATATTAGATGATGAGGAAGTTACACAAACAATACACTATATAATATATTTTTCACCTAAGTAACTCAGATGGAGAAGGGTTAATATGAATATCAACATATATATTCTTATCAGAATAAACTTTTATCATCATTGTTATAAAAATATATTAGTAATAATGTTATAAAATACTTTTAACACAAGTTAAATTGTAGAATCAATAATAGTATAACTAAAACACACAAAATGTAATTCAGATGGAGAAGGGTTAATATGATATCAACAGTGATTCTTATCATCATTTTAAAATAACACATTCAATTATTATTGTAAGGCTATAATTATAAAATGAGGTTATATTAAATATACCTTCAACAGGGCTTTTCCGTCCTTATCTTGATCTTCGTGTTTTAATTCAATTCCAAGCTTCTTCAAAAGATCAGTAGCTTCATCTTTCTTATAGTTCATGATGCAGTTGAATACCTATAGGTACAAATAAATAAATGAATTATTAATGCTAACAAAAAGTATAAAACAATATTGCATGTAGTAACATTTGCACATTTATATAAACCATCAGCTAGCTTTAAATTTGTATGTCTTCAATAATAGCTCAGAACAGGTCTGTGAAAATTAATCATCATTGGTATGTGATAAAATATCAACAATTAAGTTTAAATAATAATTATAGGCTAGTACATTTTAACTAGGTGAGTAAGTTATATATTCCAATACTAAAATAAATAGGAATAATATGTTTTTGTGCAATGCTTAACTATTTATTAACTATTAAATAGAAATAAAAAATCAAAATTAAATAATATCAGCACAACACAAACAAACCATCAGTTAATTTTATATGTATGTCTTCAATAATAGTTCAGAACAGGTCTGTGATAATTAATCATCATAGATTTGTTAATAAGATTTAATATTCAAATAAAATTATTCACATCTCAGACGGCCGTTCTTAAGATATCGTCATGATTCAATATCAGGAGCATTGGTGTGCAAAGAACATCATCACAGGTAAAAATATTTGAATTTAATTCAGTTATTTATTTCCTAATATAAAAATATCAGTTGAAATGTTAAAAATACTAAGTTACTTTAAATAAACTGTTAATGCCTCAGACGGCCGTTCTTAAGATATCGTCATAATTCAATATCAGGAGCATTGGTGTGCAAAGAACATCATCACAGGTAAAAACAAGATATAAAAATATTGTTAAAAGTCTTTTGGCCATAATAAATTTAGTAGATTGTTCTTGTACCGTAGTCAATAATAATAGGCAGTAACTGATCATTTATTAAAACTTAACTTACAGTATACTAATTAGGTAGAGTTGTAGACGATAGACAAACAAAACAAGTAAATATTAAATAACAATAAATTTAAACGAACAGCTTAAAAAAAAACCAGCACAAAACCGTCAAGGAAAGACTTATTATTTTTATATAAGTGAAAATAACTATATTCATAAATATTGGACAATAAATAATTCAACTTATTTAGCTGTATAAGCTGTTAGCTTATTTAGCTCTTTCTTATATTTTGCGGGGCGACGGGAGAGCCAGTAACTAACCTGTCGTCTCACTCTCGAGGGCTCGTGAATATTACATAATAAGTATTCACGCAAAAAATAGTGTATGTATATTTCTAATGTAAATATCCCTGAATCTAAAATACCAAGTTATTTTCAGTAAGTTTTCTTTTAAAATTTTGACATAAAGTAGAAAACAGAATAAGAAATATATAACTGTTTGTTAAATTTACAAATTTTTCCCGGTTTTTGTCCATTGAAAAATAATTCCCATACTTGTCCCAGGTCTGTGTCACCTTGGCTTAATATTAGTATCAAACTTCAACTTTTATAAGTTTTGGAATGTGAGTTTCATAATTTCTGTTAAAATTTAAAACAATTAACTAATGCAAATTATGATCTCAGACGGCCGTTCTTAAGATATCGTCATGGAGCAATATCAGGAGCATTGGTGTGCAAAGAACATCATCACCGAAGGAATTTATGGAAGAATTATAAACTAATTAATATTAATTAATTTTCATAATTTAGAGTATTGACATTGGATCTTAATCATAAAACTTCAGTCGGCCGTTCTTAAAATATCCTCATGTGATAATATCAGGAGCATTGGTGTGCAAAGAACATCATCATAAGTTATATAAAATAAATACAAAAGAATAATTTTCTAGTAAAGTTATTCGAATAACAATATTATAATAATTAAATTATAAAAAAATCATAACATACCTTGTAAATAGGATCCAAAATGTACATGCAGAAAGAACGTTGGTTATTGTCATCCTTAAGCTTGGCCCATTTCTTTGTTTTGGCATTGAAGAAATTTTCTCCCCACAATCTATTGAAAAATATATAAGTTGATAGGTACATTTTTTTATTTTTAAATTTAAATTATCACCTGTTCATGAGTTTAACAACATCAATCTTGAATTTTTCGGCATACATTTCAGCAAACTGTTTTAGAGTAAAAGCCCAACCGTGAAGACCTGATCCAAAACCAACACTTCCCTTGCTAGGGTCAACCTAAAAAAATTAATAATATAAATACTTTATTCTTAAAATAAATATCAAATTTAAAATATGATATTTCAATCTTTCAGACGTGGAGAAGGGTAATAAAGTTTCATGTAAGCATAACTTATCAACAGCTTTAAAATGTTATCATCACAAAGATTGAGATACATGATAGTATTAGGTAATTTATATTAAACCTTTATAGGATATGATCTTCTAAATGTTGTGACAAATATAGTAGGATAGCATACTACTATTAAGTAACTAACCAAATTTGAAATGTGCATAAACATACCATATCAGTAACTTTTTGTTTTAAACATTGTACATAGGGACTTTACTTTCTGCCCTGTGCTGTAAATATTAATAGTTAACACTAATAGTCATAAATAATTAAAATATGGTTGACTTTTTAGTTAATACAAAAAATTATTGTTTTGGGAAGTCTTCAAAATAATATGTCAAATGTATACATATAACTTCCTTATAAAAAACATTTAAATGACGCTATATTATATGCATGTGTTGTCTCCCTCCTCTAAGAAACATAAAATATACCAAATTTGAGTTTAGTAGAATACATTTTAGGTAATTTAAATTAGCTTAAATGTTAAGAATCAATTGACCTATTATCAACCATACATGTGCTAAGCGTTGAATTTTTTTTGGTATTAAAATTTAAAATATTAAAAAATTATATTGATGAATAATTAAAATATTAAAGAAAAAATGCATGCCTAAGTAGATTATGTTCTTACCTTGAAGTTTAATAATAAGTAAATTCACTCAATATTTAAACTAACTCAAAATTAGTTCATCCTAGCTCAAATTGATATGGTTGTACTTTAATATGACAAACTCGCAAATGGGTAGCGGACCTCTCAATAACAAAAGAAGAATTTCATAATTGTCAACAAACTTACTTTCATTATTTATAAATAATTTTGCATTAAAAATTAAACAATTTTAATCTTTCAGACGTGGAGAAGGGTAATAAAGTTTCATATAAGTTAACTTATCAACAGCTTTAAATTGTCATCATCACAAAGATTTAGTTTATTATGATTACCTAGTTTTATACACATAGTGATAAAATATTATTTATTACCTGAACTTCACCCATGGGACCACTGTCGTCAGAGTATGTAGCAATAATGATGTTAACATTTTCAACAATACGTTGGAAAGTTTGGTACAAATCTTCAGATTCCAATTGTAATTCTAATAAGGCACGGTCCATTTTGTTCATGAACAAAATTGGCTTGATTCTCTCAGCTATGGCCTGACGCAACACAGTTTCAGTTTGTACACACACACCTTAAATTAAATAAATAAGTATTAGAGAAACTATAAGTACTAAAAACACAACATGTTATTAAAAACTAATTAGTTTATACCTGAGACACAGTCAACAACAACTAGGGCTCCATCAGTAACACGGAGGGCAGCAGTAACTTCACTGGAGAAATCAACGTGACCAGGAGAATCAATCAAATTGATTAAGAAACCATTTTCTTCAGGATCGCGTTGGTCTACGTTCTTAATGAAGACTAAATCTTTTTCTGCGAGTTCGAAGTACATAGAGATGGCAGTGGACTTGATAGTGATACAACGATCTTGTTCATCTTTACGAGTGTCAGTGAAACGCATGTCTCCAGCTTTGGCATTAGCAATAATACCAGCTTTGGATACCAAAGAGTCAGTTAAAGTTGATTTTCCGTGATCCACATGGGCGATGACAGACATGTTCCGAATATTCTTCTTCTTGTCCATCATCTTACGGATCTCGTCTACTGTGAAGTTCACCTAAAATGCATAAAGAAATTTGATCAATGTGTACAACTTGAGTTATCAACAATGAAAGAAAAATAATGCTTTTTTCAGTCAGACTCATTAAATCAGTATTTCCCTCCATAGAATGTCAGGATAGTAAATTTGTCATCATTCTTTTAACTACCAAATACTTAATTTCTTTAAAGTTATATTGTTTAAATGATTATGTCAGACTCATTAAATCAGATTTTCCCTCCACAAAATTCAGGCAAGAAAAAAAGGTGTCATCATTCACAAATCATTGAAAATACATCTACATTATTTTAATAATCTAATGTAACAAAATGAAAAATGGCAATATTCCAATTGAATACGCACATTTTCATAAATTAGGAAATAAAAATGTTTTAAATGATAGTCACAATAAAGTGTATTCTATATCATCACATCATAGGGATTAAAATTGAACGTAGATTGCAAGAAAATATATTAAGCCGGAGTGTGTTTGTAAAAGGAATAAAAACCATAGCTTCTCAAAAAGTATTGTTTTTAAATTTAGTTTTATTATTACTATTTATAATTTAGACTTTAGTTGATGAAAAGTATTCAGTACCCCGTTCCGGTAAACAAAAATAATGACAATAATTTTACAATGTTATGCAACTCATATCAATATATCATACCAATAGGTAAACAAGGTGTCAAGTTGGTCGCAATCAACGGCATTACCGATGGTCTAAGACGCAATTTTATTGCAAAACATTCGGACATCGACCTCAAAGTCAAGTACAATGTTGACGACATCATCTCATATAGCATGAGACACATATTAAGATCGACTTAACACGACGGGGTCGGGGACCATAAATCGAAGAGACGATAGCACTTGAATGAATTGTAGGTTAAGCTTACAAAATCGCATTAGGGATCTTGGAATATTATTGAAAAAACTAGGGTATGGCAGAGGATATACTCGACAACGGCGACTTGCCGGAGGTTAAAAAATTAAGGTTTCAAACGCCACGTCCCGCGCGATTTTCAAAAAACGAAAAAAATCACGATCGCGGAAAATCGTGGCCGTGATAGGGATCAACGGATTTTTCATTAACTCCTACGTCCTACGCCACGCCGAAAAACGCAACCTGACGGACATGGGGTGTTCCGCGACGACCCGCCGCCACCACGTCATCCTTGCTTTGTGGGCGCCGTCGCCACCGCCGAATACTCAAAATTAAAATTACGGAACAGGATGGACGACGCAGATACGGACGGGGGTCACGTAGTATTAAACGTTAGCGTATCAACAAATTCAATCAATACTCACCATTTTGAGATGTTTTTGGATGAAATCTGCTCGGAAAAATCAAATTGTGTAGCACGAGTGTCGGGAGCCGACGTTGCAACAGAAAGGAAGGTGCGCGGAACAGTTCGACGGACCGTCGGGCTACGGTACACAGCGCTAACCCCCCCACCACAAAACACCAGCGGTCGCCATGACACGTTGCACAGAGCGGCCGACCACGGGAATAATGGCTATGACACCCCACTTTCCCTCCTACTCTTACTGTCGTACGATCCCTTCCAGCCGCGTCCGAACGCGTTGTGTACGTGTGGCGCACATGGTTGCCAACCTCGTGTCCCGCAAAATAAAGCGGAAGACTTATTATTTTTATTATTCCCATGACTATTCCCATGATTGGCATGATTATTCCTATCAAATACACGGACTATACAAGCTGATATCTGAGGCATTTTACATATTTTGTTCATAATTAATTTGTCATGTATTTGCTTTGCAAATGTTCAATGTTGTAATGGAACATGGTTCATGATTTGTTCCTATTTCATTCTCCGCCTCTCCCCATAAAGACACTAGACTAATATACAACTCTAATGTATTTATGTATGATGTATCACGTATGGTCGTATGGACGTATGGTACATTATGTTTCTAACAATTACAATTAATATTATATTTTTTGACGACCGTGCTCCCGGCCCATCCACACATCACACCGATTCAATAGCCGTCTCATTTACATCATAGACTATAGAGTAAAATATTACTCTATGGTTTACATTCGCAAATATCCGATTATCGTAGTACCGTTCGGAATTTCGGATCGATAGTAGGTATGATGCACGGAGCATAATCATATAACTATGAGCATAATAAGGGCTAGTAAAGTTGTACCGTCTACGAGCCGATTATAAGGTTATAAACTTCGATTAAGCTTAATCAGCTGATAACAGATTATTTAACCGAGAAAATTCGGTCAATTAACTCCAATTGGCAATTAACTTTAATCGGAGATGATACAATTAATAGCGTTTGCGTTTTGACCATATGCTCAACTAGGGACATTTTTCTGGAGGGACTAAAATTGTATCAGCACTCAGCTACTCAGCAGCAGTGGTGGATTCAGGGGAGGGGCACGTGCCCCCCTGCCAATTTTCTATCGACTATTTTTCTATGTAACTACGAATATCTTATAAATGAAAAATTCAGTTAATAAGAATAATACTACCAACTATTAACTATTATTTATTTTAATCATTATTGTTTAAAAATGATAGTATGTATGTATTATTAATTATAAAATTAAAATTATACAATGTATATGTGCCACCCCCTCCCCCTATCAAAATATCGAAGATCCGTCCAATAAATAATATTGCATTATTAAATTCAATATTATTGGTCAATAATATATTATAAAAAAAAATGAGGGGAAAGTGTCCATTTACTAAATTTTCCATGTTACATGTACAAGTGCATTGCATTAGTACATAATATATAAAAACCATAGACATAAATACATAATAGCAGTGGCGTGTTGAACTCCTTTTTGGTGAGGAGCAAAAATGTATACAAGGTAATCACCCACCCACCCACCTCGATGTTTGTAACGGCATTTCCGACATAGCAAAAAAGTTTAAATTAAACATGTTTACAACATTTTCCTACATTTGTAACGATTTGTATTGTCGGATATGATATTTGTACTATATACCTAGTCACCTAGGCGGCTAGGTATTTTGTGGCAGGAAGCACACCCACCAACCAACAATTTTTAAGGAGCAATTGCTCCAAAATAATACCTTCGACACGTCGCTGCATAATAGAAATTAGAATTATTAATTATCATGATTTATATTTTATGACTATAATAAAAACACGTTTTGCAATCGTTCCTCGCCATCATATAGGATTCCTGTCTTTTGTTTATAGATAATATACTATATACAAGGTTAAGTATATTATCTATGCTTTTGTTCCTCAATTTTTTTTTCAAGTCAACTATTATAATAATTTACAAATTTTACATTTTGTTCCTATTTAGGTACATTTGTTTCAATGAACATTTGCCGAAAAAATTTTATGGACATTTTTCCATAAAACATTACTCCCAATTATATCTTTTCACAAAATATACCTTTGTTCAATTGTTTATTTTTTCTACCAAACACGTAATGTAAAAAAAATATCTTCTCTACATCGTGACAAGACATTTGGAACACAATATGCACATACGCACATAATAATGTATGGTCTTGCCGTCTTGGAGTAAACATTAATCAGAAAATAAATGAGCGAAAAAAATTTGATTATTTGAACTACTTTTTTGATTTATGCAGATACCAAACACTATAGTATTTGCTGATAATTAAGCATAGGCGTCAGCAAAAGGAGGCTATGTAGCATATTACATTTCTGGTATATAACATATTATATTCTAAAAATGTAACTATAACAAAAATTACGGAATGGGTCTATAACCAGCTTAGATCCCCTTCCCCATTTTACGCCTGTGTACTTAAGGCAACCGGTATTCACAAAAATATATTGTATTTTTTATAAAGTCATATCATACAAATGTTAGTTAAATATCAAAAAATAAAAAATAAATATCAAAATATAAATAAAATTCCATGTACAGAGCTAAACATTTTTAGTATCAATTAAACATTTTAAATATCTAATTTTGTAAAATTTAAACTTAAAATATCTATTGAAAAAAACATTGCTTATATAACTTTAGGTTAGAGTATGAAATACTTAAGAGAAACCTTGTATTCAATTTTTAAGCTTTTTGACCGAGTGAAAAAAGTTATAACAATTCCCATTAAAAAAAAAACTAAGGTGTCTGTCATCACCTTATAAGACAGTCAAAATGCTTAGATTTCCCCCTAGGTACAGCAACTAGATAGCCGTCTCCTTGTCATCGAAGTCGGCCGCCATTTACAAAGCCGTCAATGTTTACAAAGTAATATTATACCTAATAGTAAATATGTACAGATAAACATCTATGTATATAAATAAATGTAAACATTGCCTGCTTTGTAAATGGCGGCCTGTTTCAATATTAGTCACAACTGTAGTACAATGACGGCTATCTAGTTGTTGTATATAGTATATATCTATGGATTTTCCTCAACAGTATCTTTTCTGATAGGAAAGTGAATCTAGTTGGTAATTTGGGGGGGTCAAAATTAAGGAAAAACGGGAATTTTTGCGCAAAATGTGTTTTTGAAAAAATCGATTATGGTTTTTGGTGCAACTCTTTAACAAATGACTGTAGGTACATGAATTTTTGAATAAATGTTTATATTAGCATTTTCTATACACCATAATATTTTCCAAAAATGTTAACTTATTTTGAGCTGTTTACGGACATTTTCAGTTTCCATTGTTTTTAGTTAAAATCTAAGATTTGAAAATGTAATACGAGATTTCTCGTAAGTTTGTCTACCTTTATCAAAAAATAAATGTCTACAGACTACAAGAAATTCTTATTAAATTTTTATGAGTGTTTGAAATTCATATTTTTACAAAATATGATATTTACTCTATTTCTCATGTACCTAACGATTTTCTTATTTAATTGTAATTAAAAAACGAATGACTGTAGAGTGTATAATGTATAGGTATACTTGAAAATTTCACTGAATGTTTATATTAGCATTTTCTATACCTACACGATATACCATTCAATTTTGAAAATAATTTGACTCTTTTATAGTTGTTTACGGACATTGTCAGTTTTCAATTGTTTTAGTTTTTTTTTCTATACATATCAATAATATTGTATTTGTTGGGTAAAAAAGTGTGAAATATTAATGCAAGGCTCCCGATATAGTGATATATTGTTACCATAGCAGTTGAAAAATATTAAAAATATCTATTCACAATTTTGTTTTATAAGCATTTAAATTTCAAATTTTGACAAAATTTATCACATTTAAAATTTAATAATATATTTTGTAGTTAAAAATTTATAAAATGTTCAACTTTTATAGTTAAGGATTGCAAATTTAAAACAAGATTCTACGTAAATAGGTTATATATAAATTGCTTTATTCACTTTCATATCATCAAATATAGGTAGGTACTTAGTTATATCATAGGCTGACTGATTGTTTTCGCTCAAAATCGTTTTTCTTATACAATGATATCATATCATTGAATTCAAATTTAACACCATCCATTACAGTGACCCACTTGTAACCTACTGTACAGCAGAGTGGTTCCACGACATTTGATCCGGTAAATAATATCAGGCAACAAATGATCCGCGTCACTATAGATCCAGTGCAGAAATATCCTGTATTCAAATTAACCGGGTTAAAAATATCCGGTATTTTTTAATAACTAAAGTTATTGACTCTAAAAATATAAAATATAAATGTAGGTATAATAATTGTAGGATAAATATAATTGTGTTCTTATGAGAAATAAATAATATAAAATCAAAATTATTGATAGTCCAAAAAAATATATAATTTAAATATAAATATAAGTATAATAATTGTAGGATAAATAATATAAAATAATTGTTTTTCTATGATAAATATATATAATTTTTTTTTTTATTTTTAGAAGAAAATATACAATCTATCGTGATGATAAGTTTTTAATGAGTGGATTTGGATGAGATGATAGACAGTAATGAAATTTTTTATAAAAATGTTTAGCTTATATATTATAATTTAATGATTAATGATTAAAAATTGAAATTATGAGCAATAAATTTTAAGTAATTTAATATATCACCTCTTTGGTAATTTAATACAACATTTTCTAGTCGCTGGTCCAAATCTTTATAATTTTTGCTTTTTGATGCATGGCTTTCTCCTAAATTAATTTTTTCTATTTTAGCTTCCACCAAGTTTTGTTCAGTTTTAATAAAATTAATAAATTCGAGCGGCATATTTAATTTTATTAAGGTATTGATGTGTTGAAGTTACAGGTATTGATGTGTTGTGTTAAAATGTTGTAGTGTGTATTTATACAACACGAAAACCAGAAAACCAGACAACGGTTATCGTTGACACGGGATATTTTTGATGCCGGTTATTTTGTCGCCGGGTTATTATCTACCGGATCATTTGTCGTCGGATATTATTTATCGGATCAAATGACGTGTCACACAGCAGAGTAACATCCACTTACTCATTTTTTTTTTGTTTAATTTTTAATTTGATCCCAAATAAGTATCAACTATATAGATACACTTTCCTACCACCAAAAATATTTATGTAAAAAATTTAAAAAATTTTACTGCCCGGTGATGACAAACACAACAAAAAACACATAATTGTAAAATCAATACATTCATCGTTCGCTACGCTAAGCGTCTAAAAGTATGTATATTTGTACATAAGTCATAAATTATAACCTGG